AATAACCTAATCGGTCTGACCCTTCAGTCAGGATACAATTGTATGAAGTCCGGTTATTTTAAACTACTTTTCTTCCTTGCTGTCAGAACATTACTGCAGGAGAGGTCTTAAACTGTGAATTTAAATGGCAAGCGGTTAAATATAGATGTTACTTTTTGTACAAAGATAGTTGTAGCATTTTCCATCACTGCAATAGATACAAAAACTAAAATACAAATGGCACTCTGACATAAATATTTAATCTTATGACACTGGCCAATCTTGATGAAAAGCACTTTTAAGAGTCCGTTTAGAGCTAAAGTCATGGCCAACTGGACAATGTAGAGATATGGCCGTAATGAAAGTGTAGCACCATTTATGGAGCATCAGTCTATTACTATGGGCAACCCTCAGCACTAATGACTTCACTGGACAAGTCTAGAGAAAGAGAGACCAGTTTGAGCTTGTTGCCTGTCTAAACAAAAGCAGTGACCATTAACTACCTAAACTTCACTCTCAGCACTAATGTTTTTCTTCCATTCCATTAGGACATTATCCTCTGCACCACTACATCATTCGTCGTCTGTATCTGTAACTTTAGAACATTGTGCCTAATTTATAAAAATGTTCAGAAGCCCTTTCACCTCATTCCTAGAATTTGTTAGTTTTTGGGTTTGCTTGTTTTGAGGTTCTGTAAAAGTAGCCCAGTTTTTCTGCGTGTGACCTGATCAGCACATGCTCCAAAGAGGAACTTGAGGACATCTTAATTTGCGCTGATTAATGAAAATAATCCTTGGCTAGGTCACAATGTTCTTGAGAGCATATTACAGATAGGAGCTTTTTGTTCAAATGGAATATGGATTTTAGAGCAAGAATAACTCTGGCACGGGGCTGGAGATGGAGTGCTACATCAGCCTGAACTCCTTTCACAGGCACAGAGGGTCATCAATAGCAAATGAAAAATATCGAAATAGAGAAGGAGGCTCTATTCTTCATGTTCCCTCTCTTTCACATTCTCGCTGCATTCCCAGCAACTTCAGCCTCACTGTCTGTGTGGATTAGTGGGAGAAATATTGTGAAGGTTAAAAGTCTCAACCACTCTGAATTGCCATTTCTCTCACAGCTATTTCCAATTTGGAGGTGCGCTTTAAAGCACCAGCCAAGGCAAACAAAGGCCCCAGAAAAACTGAGGCTGAGTACCTTTTCATCTAAAAATACTCCCTCTGTAGGCATGCTCATGTACAGGATACACATGTGGCTACGTAGCACATTTGTCTTGACCTGCTATTTTTTACTGTTTGAACCCACTGATACTTTGACATCAACAGAAAAAAACACTGTCGGTGGTGACTGAATCTATGAATCGGTTCAAAGCGAAGAGATTATATAACAATATAAAAGTCAACTAGCTTTAGCAGAGTTTGCTGATGGAATGTTCATGTCCACCTCCAGAAGAACCCACCCTGTTGAAAAGACCAGCTTTTGCTGGTGCCTTGTTTCAGAGGGTTCAAGCTGGTCTTCCATGGTCTAGGTCAGTGGTTCCCAACCCAGTCCTCAGGGTCCCCCAGATGGTTTACATTTTTGCTCCAACTTTGCTGTCAACTTGCAACATATATTGATAATGATAAAAATGTGGACCGTCTCGGGGGGTCCTGGGGACAAGGCTGGGAACCACTGATCTAGGTGGTTGACAAGCTGAACAACTTGCTGGACTAGACAAAAACTGTGCTGGTCAACCAATTGGTTAAGCTGGTAAACCACCGTACCAGTTGACCAGCAGAGCATGTGATTTTGTTTGAGTTTGAACAACCTGGTCAACCAGCTTGGTCATGCTAGTCATGCTGGCCAACCAGTGTGGTCATGTAAGTTGTGCTGGTCGACCAGTTTGGTCGAGCTAGTCACACTGTTCGACCAGTCAGTCAGTCAGTCAGTCAAACTGTTTCATGTCTCAGTGGTTGGAATCTCCACCATACAAGAACCACTTTAGGCTCCCTAAAGAGCCTTTCATTGAATGGTTCTGTAGAAACTCAATTATACTGTTATTTAGGGAACTAAAAGTGGTTCTTCTCTCACTCCAAACAACCCTTTTTGACACCTGTTTTCACATTCTAATTATCCATCACTTGAAATATCAGCTTCCGATTCCACTGGTTTCCACTGGTTCATATCACCTCTTGACTCTCATAAACAGAAAGTCTTCTCGAAATGAGAAGGATCATCTGCTTGAGACTTCATGATAAAGGTGTTATACAATCACAGCTGGCTGAGTTTCATCAAACTCAGACTGGTTGAGTCTCTTGTGTCTTCTAGTTTATTAATGTCAAACTCTTTGGGTTGCAAGAATGGCAGTTTAATTCCCACAGCTTACCGTAGGAATTCCTGGTGAAATAATGTGAAATATGAGCATCAGGACAAAAAACAGGCCGCTCTATTTTCAGACCAGAACTATTACGATATTACATTTTATGGCATGGCCATCCTAGCATGAGTGCACTCCCAAAGACATAAAGACTATAAAGACTAAAAGACTTGCTAACAAAGATCTCCAGATCTACGCCCAACATAAGTCAGTTTCACTTATTTAGGTCCGAAAAGAATCAAGTGTATGACAGGTTGATAATCCATTATGATGAATGCCTGAAGGGTAGAACACTAGCAATGAGAACAGGCCTTGGCAATCCTTCCTGTGGCCCCAAAGTAAAAGAACCATTGCATGGAAAGAAGGGGAAAAAAAAGAGAAAGAAATGGTAAGATTTAAAGCCAGGTGTGGGAGAAAGAAAATATAGACCCATTAATTAAACATTTTCAGTCTAGCTCAGCTGTCCGTGGCTACGTAGTAGCTTGTTTGTGGCTAAGGAGAAGGATACCTAGGAGAGTTATGCAATGATTTGGTTTCTGAGAATGAAATATGAGGCTTAGGGCTATAAAGGCAACATTCAGAATTTATCTCAATGTTGCTTTTATCACTGAATTTGCATACTACTAGCTATGATTTTTCTTATCTATATAAAAAGCCATTCTTATGCATAGGCAGAGAAAATAGCTTCAACACAAAATAACCTGCCTTCTTTCGCTCCAGTGGTTACTGTTTGGAGCACCACTATCATTTTGTGGATGGAAATTTTCTTCAGTGTTTTACAGCCTCTCAACATTTAAGAGTGGGTTTATAAACATACTAAGACACGGGCACGTGCAGCTTGTTCGGAGGTAATTTTGACTGCTGTTGTTATTGTGAACCATGATAAAAGAAACTGTATAATGGCTTCAGATAAGGATCATTTGGTCCTCTTGGCTGAGCAAGGCCCTTTTCAATACACGACTAACAACAGCTGGGCCAACATTTCATCTCTGCTCCCATCAATATACATGCTTCAGGAAATGCATTGTGATTTATTTCCTCTCTGGATGAAATGTTTGCTTTGAACACCAGTGCTCTGTGTACTGATGAGTAGTTCACAAAGAATGCACAATGACTCAATTATAGTATATTTTGTACAAGGTACACCTGATTGGAGTGTTGATGTACAATGCAGTGCAAGCTTTACTGATGTTCTCAGCAATGGCTCAAACAACACACTTCATATCCAACTATAGACTCAGAAGAGATCACTACTACTTCTCAGAACTGCTGCTTTTAGAAGCAGAGCACCATTCAGCAGTATGAACAGTGTGCTTTTCTTCTGTGTATAGAATGATTCATTTTCTGCATTAAGCTCTGCAAGGTCTGGCTCCTGGCTGAGCTCATCCATTCATATACTCATTTGTGCCCTACGTTCGGCTAATTTAGTGCCTTCTCCTGGTTCCAAGGTTTGGACTGACCTGTATGTGTGGGCAATCATTTAGTATATTAGTCCCAAATTATTGATTTCTCTCCCCCCAATCTAATCACGTAAATCTGTCTTGAAGACTGATTTGTTATCACTGTTCTTATTGTCATAATTTCTTTAAAGAAAAATGTTTCATCACATCAGGTGTTATTTCAAACTTCATGTGAATAATATGTGATCATATGCGACAATGCAAATAATGTGATCACATGTGACCATGCAAATGTGTGATCACATGTAATGTGAATAATATGTGATCATATGTGACACAATGTGAATATTATGTGATCATGCAACAGTGCAAATAATGTGATTGCATGTTACATCGTGTGGATAATGTGATCATATGTGACAATGTGAATATTATGAGATCATGTGACAATGCAAATAATATGTGATTGCATGTGATATCATATGAATATATGACCACTTAAATATGATCATTTAAATTTGCATTACATGTGGAAAAAAGGGTGTGGAAAAACTAACAAGTGAAGTGTCTAAAAGTGATTATTCACAAAAAAAGTGTTGTGATTTTTCTATAAAGGTAAGTTACAAAATGATTTTGCAATCCATCTTCTTTATCTGTATATTATTTTGTCTTTTTGTCCTGCTGCCCACCACACATTGCTTTTTATCCTCCCCAGGATAAAACGTACAGCGTCCCTCCACTGCTGCAAAGCGTCCCTGACAATGGGAAAGGCGCTATATAAATAAAAATGATGGTGGTGGCTTATCATTACCACAGCTGAGTGTGTTAAACCCAAACTCGTAAAGCTCTGTTGTATCACTTCATGCAGGTAAAAAGTGGCAGTGGATTAAATAAAACATGTTCGTAAACATTAATTATATAAGACACTCAGTTCTGATGAGCGCTTGTTGTTTACAGTCCAGCTGAGGTTTGTCGTCATAGTGACGCGAGGCGCTTTTTTTCCCCTCCCTCTCCTGCGCTATCATTGGCCAGCAGTGTGTCGTCTGCACTAGGATTGGCCAGTATCCCGTTTCTTGCGCTACTATTGGCTCGTGACTATCGCGTCTCTTGCGCTTTGATTGGCTTGTGACCGCCTGCGGAAAAAACCTCTAGTCAATGATAACGCAGGAGCGGATTCAGTGAGCCAATCGCCGCACAGGAGGGCGGGGTTTGTCGGATTACGGGTGGGGAAAACAACGGCGCCCGAGTCATGCTGCAGTCTCGAGCTGGTCCAGTGCTACCGCAGCAGCACAGCCGCGCAATGTCAGTCGAAGTTTGTTCTGCTTCTCGTCTCGGTGGTTCTTTTCATGAGGCGCGTTCTCGGAGCCAGTATTAAAGGAGGACGAGTGTAGCTTTACCGCACAGAAGTTTCATCAGCTCTTATAATCAGGCTGCGAGAATGAACGATATCAAAGTTGCTGTTCTTGGAGGAGAGGGAGTCGGGAAATCAGGTAGGCTGGAGCTCAGGCTGTTGATTTCCTCTCTCTTTCCTTTAAGCTCTTGTTTTGGTCACATGAAGTCATTTACAGCAGTCTGACCTTTATTCCTTACAGCACTCATCGTTCGTTTCCTGACCAAACGGTTTATTGGCGAGTACGCATCATCATCAGGTAACTTCCATCTGTTCGGACATCTCTCTCATTTACAGTTCCTTCTGTTCGGGTCCGCAGTGCTTTAAAGTAAAGGGTTCTCTGATGCACTGCGAACCAGTGATAAGAACTGACCCAGTTTGCCTTAAGAATCACTACACAGTAAATGGCTTAGGGGAAGTATAACCTACACTCTCAAAAAGATGGTTCTTCAAGGGTTCTTTAGTAAAGGGAATGATTCTATAGGTGAAGTGGTTCTTCAGATTGATGGAGAATGTGTTATATATGGTTCTATACAGAACCTTTTTGAATATGGTTCTGAATAGCACCAAAAAGAGTTTTTCTATTGTTATGATGCCAAGCGTGTAACAATAGCAGAACCCTTTTTTGGTGCTATATAGAGCCATTTTCAGAAAGGTTCTGTATAGAACCATACATAACACCTTCTCCATCAACACAACACATTCTCCATCAATCTGAAGAACATTCCACCATGCAAAGAACCATTTAAGCATGAACCTGTTCTAAATAGAACTGTTTCTTTTACTACAGAACCCTTGAAGAGCCATCTTTTTAAGAGTGTAGGACATGAAAGTAGGCAGTACTTATGCGTAACATCATAGAGAGAAATAAACATCCAGTTACATAGAAATGAGTTGATGTGAACTGATGTCATGATATTGACTTATGAGAACCTGATGGCTGGAAAAAGGCACCCTTTTGTTTTACATGGTAGGCTACAGCAGGAGCTCTGCCAAGCAGCCATACTGAGTTATTTAGAGTGGCAATAAAATGTTGAAAATTGCAAAGTGAAGCAAAATTCGTTCTCCTGACTGTGTGAAACTTGTTCTTTTTTCAGAGTGCATATACAGAAAGCGTATGTCTGTTGATGGAAGGCAGCTGAATCTTGAACTTTACGACCCATGCTCTCAGGTAAGTGTTTAAAGCAATAGTGAAAGCTTCTATAATGGTTATAATAAAAAAAAAGTGTCTGAAAAGCTATAGAGCATAAGCCCCCCTCATAAAGATTAATAGATGCATGAAGGAAAACAAGCTTGTGAATGTGATACCCACTACTGTAATGCACACGATATTACAGCTCATGCAGTAGATTTGACTGGGACCTGGGAGTTTTATTGCCAGCACATTTTACATGGGTCATGTACACTTAACCTTATCTCAATTTAAGACACTCTACAGAATGCAGAGCTCCTGCAAAGGCTTCACTTTGCTTGCATGTTAGTTGCATAATTGCAGAAAAGCTAACATTTCCACTTGCAGCCTTTTTCTTCAGTGTTATTTTGGCGAAACATCAGATTTGGCTTCGTACTGATCAGTACATGCCGTTTGGAAGCCAGTATCATCCATCATACTTATGTTAACGAGTTCTGAAGGCCTACATAATTTACGGCCCTTATGTAATGACTCTTCTAGCGCTGAGACCCAGACAGCAGTATTTTGTGTGAATAACACTTAATCGGTTTGCCATGTATGGCCATATTCTGTATCATCAGACTACTCTTATTGCACCACATCAACAGATCATGGCCAGACATAGGCCTACTTGCATAGGAAGCATGGCAGTGGATATATTTGTGTAGGGTGAATCTGCAGTCTATGCAATAGATGTCTGAGATAAAGTGTTGTTTAATAACATTTAGCAGTTGCACACACTCAGAATCAGTGTGCTAAGGACAAATACACCAGTTTACCAGTTTATTAGGTACTGTATAGGTGCACTTTATACGTTACTGACTGCATCCCATCTGTTTCTACACACCTAGTCACCCACCCTCTATGTCATTCCTCAGTAGAAAGGAACCACCACAGGACAATATTATGGGGTTTATTAAACACTTCAGCATTACCGCAGGGTTCAGAATAGTCCACCAGCCAAAAATATGTAGCCAATAGTGGTCCTATGGTCAGGATGAAGGTCCAGAGAATGAATAACACAAAATGTGCCACATTAACAATCCACTACTATGTTAGTGTCACTACTATGCTGAGAATGGTCCACCGCCGAAATAATATCTGGTCAGCGGTGGTCCTATGGTGGTTCCTTTATACTAATGGATGTGGTAGAGGGGCTTAATGAATTGATTCAGCAACAGAAGGGCTACAGTCAGTATGTGTAAACCTACAAAGTATGGCAGGTGTACCTGATAAACTAGTCAATGAGTGTAGATATGTAAGTGTTGCCAATAAACTGTAAATTATTCTAATTCTGGCTGTGTGGTCTGCATGTGTTTCCTCAGCCCTGTGAAGGGAAGTCCACTCTGAATGAGCAGATCCACTGGGCCGACGGCTTCGTGGTCGTGTATGACATCAGCGACCGCTCTTCTTTCCTCGCGGCCACGGCCATAGTGCACTTGATCCGCGAGCTAAACCTGGGAGTAGCTAAAAGGTAATGCTCTTCACTAGAGTGAGTATGGGCAGCAGAAGAGGCAGCTATTTCTGTCTGCCATTCACAACTCGTCATTGCTTGTGCTGTGTAGGTGGTCAATAACTGACCAGAAAACAGGCTTATATATTTTTATTATGGAGAATACCAGAATGGCTGCAGCTGCTGCGGAGGCTGAGTGGGTGCTCTGATAGCTTAAGGCCAGGCAACTTAACTCGCCTCCGCATTTTCCTCAATGGCTAAAACCACCCACATTTTTGATTTTCTTGTGTTAAAGATAGCAATGGTATAGCAGTGGATCTGCCATTCTTTGTAAGCACTGACAGCAAAGCTATGTTTCAGTTCTCAGATGTTTAGTGCTTGGCTGTTTTGTAATTGATCAGCTGATTCTTCGTCATGTGCATGGATTGGAAACATGCTTCTCCTCTTGCTTCTCATAGAAACTGTTTAGTTTGGTCATCGCAAAGCGATCCAAGGGTAGTCCCAAAGGACCAAACTAAAGCAGAAATGTAAACACCCAATCAAATTAAACCTGCCTTAATTTAACCATTGGAAACATTCCCTTAAGTCTGAGTTTGGGTCTCAATTTAGAGTACCTAGTTTGTAGATGGATTGCACTAAATAAAATAAACATTGAATTTTATTCCAATAAAGTAAACTTTGAACGGTGTCTGTGAGACTCTAGAGTTCTCTGCGCTCTTAAAAATAAGACTGTCTAAAAAGGTTCTTTGGAGTGATGCCATATAAGAATCACTTTTGTCTTCCAAAAGAGCCTTTCTATTGGATAGTTGTGAAGGTTCTAAGAACAATTACATACTTTAAAGCTTAATTAAAGTTCTTCCCTAGAACCATATTCAAGAATCATTTAGGAGCTTCTATTTTTAAGACTGAATTACTTCTAATCTTTAGGCACTGATATACTACAGTTATGCTGCCGTTAAGCATCTAAGCCTGTTGCCGAACTATCAGAGAAAAGTCTTGCCAATAGTTGAAGGAGGATTTTTCTTCAGTCATTCTGAACCACTTCTTCACTTTTTGTCTAGGGACTCAGATTCGGTGGTGTTCTTAGTGGGTAATAAGCAGGACCTGTGCCACATGCGTGAGGTGGACAAGGAGGAAGGCCAAAGGGTGGCATCAGATGGCCGCTGCCAGTTCTACGAGCTCTCTGCTGCCGAGCACTACCAGGAGGTGGCGCTCATGTTCTCGAAGATGGTGCGCAACGCCAGCCTGGGTGGCAAAGCCAAGGAGCGCCGGCGTCGGCCCAGCGGCTCCAAGTCCATGGCCAAACTCATCAACAACGTGTTTGGCAAACGGCGGAAATCTGTGTGAGAGCAGAACAAATGATGGACACTGATGGTGCCATGAACATTAAAAGCCCTGTGAGGAGCTTCATATTGGGACGCAAGTAGCACCCAATAGAGACTAAAGACCAGCTTCTGGCTACTGCATGCCAATTCCTTTAAAATGTCATAGCAGTACTGTGTTTCAGATGGCCTGTGTGTGCTAAAGCGTTTCTGTGAAGTGCGCTTAAGTTGAGACTTATCTGCTCTTTGCTATAAATGTCCCAACTGTGCACTCTAAATGTTTATTTGACCATGTATACAATGTTGGATGTAACAATAAGGGCAAATATGCTCCTTTTGATATATGAGGAATGTCCATAGAGGCTGTTGTAGGCCAAGTTCCAACTTTAAACATGTCAATTAGAGATTAGATAAAAGTGCTGTCTTTACAGTATAAACTGCTTCATGCAGGTTTACTATATAGACTGTTATTCTTCAGTGATTACAGAAAGGACAGATTAACACAGCATTCTGAAAGGTTTCAGCACTGTACTGTGATTTCTCTCAGCTGACATGTTTTGACCAGTCATTGATATCGTCGATAGAGTAGGTTTTTACAGTGTAAAGCAATCTGTAAACTGTTGTGCATTTCTGTTTGAAATGCTGTCCCTTACCTAGAATAAAATGTAACCAGCTTTTCTCAGTGACCCCCTGTGCTGCGGTGATTCTATTTCTGCGTGTTTGGACTGGTCTGCAATGTTTTGAAAGCTTTCAAAGGTCTCAGCGTGCACACTTTATTAGAGGTGAGTGCTGTTGGGCAGAGCAGGGTGACTTGGCAACTAATTCTACAGGAGACTAATTAAATCTTGCAGAATGCTACAGTAGAGAAATACAGTAGAGAAAAGCCATTAGAGTGAAAAAGGATATTTCAAATGATTCCAGATTGATTTGGGTCTGTTTTCTACTTATCTCAGGCTGCACATTTACCAGATACACGTAACGCCTGTTCTTGGACTGCCAGTAGGAATACACCAGAGAAAATCATTTTTAGTCCAGTAGCAATCTCAGTCTCTTAGTGTGGGAAAAAATGCTGATGTGGAGTCAACTAGTGTTTGCTAGAAGTTATGACAGTTTTAAACGGTGTAGATTGCATACAGCAAAGATGTCAGCCTGAAAGGCTATTTTGAGAAAACCATGCCTTTACACTGAGGTAGAAGTATCCATGATTTAGCCATTTTTTTGGAAGCTTAATTCAGTTCAGAACAAACACTGTACAGACAGAAATTTTAGAGCCCCTGTGATTGTGTTAGGCTTAAATACTCAGTATTGAATATCTTTCCTTACCTACCAACCAAGGACTACCTGCATGTCTGAAATGGTTCCATATTCCCTACAATGGAAAATCAGAAACACTATTACACACTGCTTATCATTCTACAACGGCAGTCATATTCCATAGCATTCAAAACAGTGCAGTACGGGCATTTCATGTCCACTAAGGTACACTACGGCAAGGGTTCCCAAACTTTTCCATGCCAGGGTCCACATGAAGAGGTAATGTTTGCCCCATGACCCAAAATATTCTGTGAAGTGACATAAACTTGTCAAAAGAGTGCTAAGCTTGCAGACTTCTACTCAACTGTTCTTTCAATCAAGAAACACAATAGTATAACACAACAAAAGAATAAGTCATGGATAGGCCTACATTAGAGAGATCACAAAACAGAGATTTTGCATTTAGATAATCCATTCAGCTCTTACTTTAAAATTTTTTTAATACATTTTATTAATAAGTAATTGGACTTTTTACAGGTTTCATTTTAAAGTTGTTCCGATCCATTTTATAAGATAACAGAGAGGGCTAGCTAGCGCTGTAAACTGATCACTGTTGATTAAATTGGCTAAAGCAAGCTTGTTTTAGATGTGGCCTGGCAGCAACGCAGATCTTATCGTAAGTAGTTTGAACATTACTACATTACTTAAAGCTTTGAGCATGGCGTCCACTCATCCCTACTGTTGTAATTCACACAACACTTGATAGCTACACTTCAAACGCATGTGACCGTATGTGTTCACACAGCCAGTTAAAGGCCACGCTGATGACACAGGAGTGCTTTGAGAGCATCTGAGGTGCTGTGAGGCACAGAAACAGTATAAATACCACATAAGACCTAAAACACTTCATCTATTTTTGCTTTTGAGGAAAAAATGTATATGCATTAATGTAGCTTTATCAATGCATATACATCTTGGTGGGTCACGACCCACAGCTTGAAAAACACTGTACTAAGGTTTGTGCACTACCGGTTGCAGTGCTGTGATGTGTTGATATTAAAGCCAAGGTGCTAGACTAGTACTGTCTGTACGTGTATCAGCTAATTAATGTTATAGAATCATAGATGAGATGATGAGAAACAAAAAAGGGGGGGGGGTGGTCTCACTGGGTGCTCGGCACCCCTAAAGCTCTGATCCTAGAATCACCTCTGAAGCCATTCTCTGAAGATGTAGAGGGCACTGAGGGTTCTCCTCTGCTATCTAGCGAATAAGGCATAGTTTTAGACATAGCTTACAATTGACATTTTGAGTAATTTGTTGGGATATCATGATGACTCACAGGTGAGTGAAAACAATAAGATCCAGAGAAGTGATAAGCTAAATGCCCATGAATGACTCAAATGCTCAAATTTTACATTTGATTTTGAGCATGAAGTGGATACAAATGCACCATTTACTTATTATGTAACGTCGCCCACGAGCATGCCTTTGCGGTGCTAATGGAATAGAATAATACCACGCATCTTCACTAACAGGCTAATTGTTAGCCATAATGAGGTAAAGCATGCTAATCATTTGTGCACTGAGGGTAACTAATGCATGCCCTTATTTATGTAAATCAACTAATGTGTTACCTAACTGAGTGGATATGCAGCAAGGCAGCAGAAAGTTATAAGTATTGATTCACAGTGCAGAGCCTTTTTATATAGGCTATTCCTGTATAGACAGTGTCTGAATGAATTAGCACTGGGAACTCTGCTATCATGCTAACCACTTCTACAACTGCTTGGCCAGTTGGAGAACAACAATAGATAATTCATAAGATGTCACTGTCATAATGAATCTTCTACTGTTGTATCTACCTAAACAATTATCATAAATTTAATGTATATTATTTTTTTATTTCAAATAGTTTTGTACCCTTTTTCGTGTTCATACAATGTAAAGGTCAGCTGCAAATAAATAAATACAAATGAGTTTGCATGTTCTCCCCGTGTCTGCATGGGTTTCCTCCAGGTGCTCCAGTTTCCTAGAGATAATAAATTGGCCCTAGGGGTGAGTGTGTGTGTGTGTGTGTGTATGTGTGTGTGTCAGTCCTGTGATGGACTGGCAACCTGTCCAGGGTGTTTCCTGCCTTCAGCCCAGTGAGCGGTGGGATGGGTTCCAGCACCCCCCCCCACGACCCAGGAAGGTAAGCAGCTTAGATGATGAGTGAGAGAGTTGCAAGGTTGAGATAAAGGTTCCTAAATGGTACTTGCCTTGGACATAGGGTTCTGGGAAAAACTTTAGAACCGTTATGTTGTATGGAGGTTCTTTGAACTTTCAAACTTGCATATCTCATTTACAGAAATGTATCATCCATTGAAACGTTCTTCAGGGAACCAAAAGTAAACATACAAACATATATCATAAAATAAAGATTCCTAAATAAATTGGACAAATGGTTCTTTAAAAGTCTTTAGTTTTCATGGAGGCCCTTTGGACTTTAAATGTGTGGTTCTTCACACTCACACATCATGAATTGAATAGAAAGGTTCTTTTTGGTCAACCAGAAGTGGAAGTTCTATTTTTAAAGATGTGCTTTTAGCAGAAAATATCCCATTTCTTTGTTTTTATTAATTGCTTTTCTTGTTCGGTTAACAGAAATAAGCACTGATCCCCCCAGAAAATGCCTCAAAAACATCCAAATCACAACCCCAAACAAAGTGACAGGGCATATTGATTATGTAAATATGGAAGATTAGTCTGCAGCTGTTAATCTTCCAGGCTGGCTTACACAGAGACCTGCAGAAGAAGCCAAAGCTGATCCTTTTTGCCATCTCATCCCTTTGGCAGTGGCTGGAGGCAGAGATAGACCATCACATTCTCATTGGCCTGTTGGCCCTCTGGCCAGCGTCCAGCATCTCAGAGCCCTGTGACAGCACACTGTGCTGAGGATACGAAGTGCTGGGGGCTGATGGAGCTTCTCCAGCTTTCATACCTGCAGAGGGATCTCAATCCTCCAAAAAAGAGAGGGGGGAGAGGAGTGTTGGGGTGGTTGTGAGCTTTTAAACATGGCTGTTGATTCTGAGTGAGATACGGTAGAAAAACAGAATGAAAAATTGGCGGTCCTTATAGGGGTCTTGTCAACATTTCACTTATCCAGGATCAACACTGCCCCAGACTTTCAGGCTGCTTGAGCCATTCTCTAAATATTATCCCATGTTTTTGTGCACATGTGCCATCTTTTGTAAGCCACACTAAATCTGTATTTCACTTTTTAAACCAACTGAGGTTGAGATTAGAGGTTCTTTAGTAGAGTGAACGGTTAAATATGGAATTGAAAGGAACCATTTGAATGCAGAAAAATTTATCTTTTTATGAATCCCCATAATATATACTCATGCTACTGCTGGCTCTACAAAGTTTTGCCGATCGCTCTTATATTGTCTACTGTATCAATAATGATAATTAGTTTATAGATATATTTAATATATATATAAATTATTATTAACATACTTATCTTCTGAAGTGGTTTACACTATAACATGATAATCCTATAATAAACGTGACATCAAAATTTGTTCCAATAATCTGTCTGGATCAGAGAACATAGTTCTTTATGGAAGCTAAAGGTTATATGTAGTTCTTTAAAAAACCATTTAAAATGTTCCAGACAGCAGTAAAATGGGCTCCGCTGTTGTACGCCACTCTTATAAATAAAAGTGCCATAGAAGAACCACTTTTGACTCCCTTTAGGATCATTTAGTGGGTGGTTCTTATAAAGAATTTTTGTAAATGAGGTGTGTGTGTGAAGAACCTTTAGGAAGTATAAAGACCCTCCACATAATGTAGAGGTTCTATTGCAATTAACCCATTTTCACAGTAGCAATAAATGCAACGTTCATCTGTTTTGTAGGACCCTAATTTGAAATTCTTCAATGCTGTCAATCAAAAATATTTCAATGGAAATACATATGATTTACAAAACCAGAAGCAAATCTTTGTAGGTAAACAAGCAGGTCAATAATTATAAAAGTCTTTTTACATTGTTTAAATGCCTTTTTATGACAGTTATACATGATTTTTGCTTAATCAAGAAAACCTGCTGCTTGTTTTATCTCAGCATGGCCAGCTTTGTGGAGAGATGTGAATTGTTCATAGCAGTGGGTACTCACTTCCTCGCCTGTCACCCTTCATTGCTCACTAGCAGCTTAACACAGTGTCGCATATGGAGAGCAAACAGTATTCTTGTTAATCTGATAACAGAGTTACAGGAAAAAACATTTCATTTGATCATATTATTTAAAATATCTGAGTTGATTTCCACTTTTCCTAGAAACTTACATCCAAGCCATGAAGCATTTAGAAGCTTAATTTTTAAGATTGAACCTCTTTTCTTAAGATGAAGGTGGCCTGAAATAGGAGCAATGCTGTGTTTTTATTGCTTTGT